CCAGCCATTTTGTATATTTCATGACATTATTTTTCTTTTTTGCCAGGACTACAGCTATATAAGTGCTAGCTACATGTACTACTGATACATTATCTGGAAGCACATGAAGTATAATGATGATGATTTATAAGTTGACCACTTGATAAAAAATGTGATCATCAGGTATTTTTATTGGAAAAGTAATTTCTTCTTTAATAATTAAAAATGGAATAACATATTTTAAGACAGTGTGAATATCTATTCCTCTAACAACTTTTTGCCCAAGTTTTAGGAGCCTCTGATGATTCTTGTCTGAATCAACTATTACATTGAAAATTATAAAATTATGACTTGCCGATTCTATGACTTTTTTCTACATGAATGTTTTAAAAAGCCAATGTGTTAGAATACATTTTCACTGAGACATTTTTGATACTCAAATTATACCATAATTGGCCAGTGGGAGCCTCCTGAAGCTGCCTCCTAGGCCTTCTTGACATGACTCCATTAGTTGAAGATTTCCTATCTTTCTGTCACATCAGAAGTCTAGAGACTCACTTATACTTCCCCTTTCCCCAGACCTGGAATCAGCCATTCCCCCAAGAATCCCCATTCCCTTTTAGTGGGGGATATTGCATTTATGAGGAATCATTTTGCTGGTCTCTTCTACATGCCAGCCCTCTAAATGTTTGAGGCCAGTTATTTCTATCTCATACACCTCCCAAAACTTTCACACTTAGGCTAAATTCACCTGATTCCTTATATAGTCTCCTATAACTTAGCTTTAATCTTTATCCTCCTCTTCTCTTTCATATTGCCTGTCCCAACTCAGCTGGTATTTCTATTCCAGGGTTTCCCAACCTGACTATACATCAGAATCACTAGGGAACTTCTTTCATGTATAGATTCCCAGGATCTACTCACTCAATGCTTACCCAATGAGAATATCTGGGAGCATGGGACTCTGTGTGTATGTTTTTTAAGCTCCCCAAGTGATATCAACTACTGAACACTTTGATTTTTCGAGGGCTTGTGGACCCAGAGTTGAATACAACATCAAAAGTACAGTCTAGAGCTATGACATTTTTGAAATATTGGACACTACAATTCTTTCAATGTAATTAAATCAATGCTGACATTTGGGGGGAAATGGAGGCAATAACATAAAAGTTTTGACTCATGAAGAATTTGTGAAGAATTAAATCCTTAAGACTTTTCAAATATATTGTTGTCACATCTCCCCACTTCATGTTCAATTTTTCTTTCAGACCTAAGTGTACATAAGGATTTACATTTGTTCCAATTAAAACTCATATTGCTTTATTCAGTCAAACCTTCAGTATTTCAAAGGTCTTATGGATCCTGATTGTATAATCTCTTTTTTAAAAATATATTTTATTGATTTTTTACAGAGAGGAAGGGAGAGAGATAGTTAGAAACATCGATGAGAGAGAAACATCGATCAGCAGCCTCCTGCACATCTCCTACCAGGGATGTGCCCGCAACCCTGGTACATGCTCTTGACCGGAATCGAACCTGGGACCTTTCAGTCCGCAGGCCGACGCTCTATCCACTGAGCCAAACCGGTTTCAGCCTGATTGTATAATCTTAAGTATTTTTTCACCCTTCCAACTTTATGTTACTCACAGTTAAGTATGCTGTCAAAGTTTTCTCTCTTACATTGTCTTTTTCCCCCCTATTACTATTTTTTTTAAGTATTAAAAATATCAATTTCACAAACTTTTCTGATTGTAGTAGTGGTCACATAACTGTATGTTTGCCAAAACTCATAGAATCATACACCAAAAAGAGTGAATTTTAATGTATGTGAATTACACCTGAAAAATATCAGCCTTATACTTCAAATATTCAGCTATATTTCCCCCCCAGATTAGGTCTCACTAACTTATTTTTGATTGACAATTCCTGCAAAATGTATTGCTATTCTAACTAATGGCAGTTTCATGGATTTTGTATTTTTATTCATTGAGATAAATGCATTCTAGGGTTTGATACCTTGCAAAAGCATCAGGGTTCGGTTTACCAAGCCAGTCAACCCAATGAATGAATGAATGATCATCATTTTATCAGTTCCCACAACATAAAATGCAAAGAAAAAGTTATAGAATGTGGAATAAGGAGAAAATAATATTAGAAAAATTATAATCCTTCACAGAATGGGTTTTTAAAAAATCAAATTCTTGCCTAGGAGTGGAAGTTAAACAATTTTCTACTTGTAAGTTTGGCAAAGATTTTAAAAAATACTTTTAAGGCTGATGAAGATCTTGTAAAACACACTGTCACAGAGTGATTAAGAGACTTAAGTAATATAAGCCATTTGAAACTATCTAATAAGAACTTAAATAATTCAATTAGAATACATATATACTAAAAAAAAAAATCTAGAAGAAATTACACCAATTTTTAGCAGTGGCCAGCTATCTCTAGCTGATAAAAGGCAGACTGTTTTGTTTTTTAAAGTTTTTAAAAATATTTTTTTAAAATTTCTACAATGATTCCATGTTAGTTTATAATTAGAAAGAAAAAAAGCAACACATGCTTAGAAAAACACCAGTTAAAGAAAGGGGAGGAAAATAAACCACAAAAGGGAGGAAATAGGGATAAAATAATTTTTTGTAAGGATTTAACAGTCACTGATAGGAATTCTCAAAATAAAATCTTATATAATAAAAGCCTAATATACAAAGTGTCTGGTCGTCTGTTCAACCAATCAAAGCATAATAAGCAAATAATATGCTAAGGCTGCTCAACCGCTCACTATGATGTGCACTGACCACCAGGGGCCAGACAGTCAACCAGTTGACCAATTGCTATGACATGCACTGACAACCAGAGAGCAGACACTCCGACCAGTAGGTTAGCTTGCTGCTAGGGTCTGGCAGATCAGGACTGAATGAGATGGGCTGGAGATGCCCTGGAGCCCTCCTCAGCTGGCCAACCTTCCGCGTCCCTCCCCGCCCCGATCGTGCACTGGTGGGGTCCCTTGGCCTGGCCCTCTCGCAATTCAGGACACCTCAGGGGATGTTGGAGAGCCAATTCTGGCCCCATGGCAGAACAACTGGTCACTATGTCATGCATTGACCACCAGAGGTCAATGCGCTCCCATAGGAGGAGTGCCACTCAGCCAGAAGCTGGGCTCACAGCTGGTGAGCACAGTGGCGGTGGTGGGAGCCTCTCCCACCTCCATGGCAGCGCTAAGGATGTCCGAATGCTGGCTCAGGCCCACTCCCCATGGCCTAAGCCGGCATTTGGACATCCCTTGAGGGCTCCCGGACTGTGAGAGGGCATAGGCCGGGCTGAGGGACCCCCTCCCCCGAATGCACAAATTTCATGCACCGGCCTCTAGTATCTTATAAGTAGTTAATAATTTTATTAAACCTGGACTCAGAAAACTATAAGACACTGAAAAAAGGGATAAAGGACAACATAAACAGATGGAAGAACATACCATGTTCATGGATTGGTAGAATCAACATCATTAAAATGTCCATGTTACCCACGCAAAGCAATATATAAATTCAATGCACCCCCCATTAAAATACAGCATATTTCACAGACCTAGAGTGAACTCTCCAAAAATTCATCTGGAATAAAAAAAGACCACAAATAGCTGCAGCAATCCTGAGAAAGAAGAACAAAGTAGGAGAATTTTAATACCAGATATCAAACTATATTACAAAGCCACTGTTCTCAAAATTGCCTGGTATTGGCACAAGAACAGACCTATAGACCAATGGAATAGAATAA